CCAGCAAAAATTTTCGTACCACACTGTAACTCGTAACTCTTAATTCTCTGAACTACATAGAAAGAGCTTATCACCCCTCTTACATTAAATGGGGTCCCAAAAGTTCTTCCTCTAATTTCATGCACTATAACTTTTGATCAAAACTTTATTTTTACATGAAATTTCTAGATGTTTATTTCTCTATCGAGTACATCTATTCAGAATTTCAGTAACTGGCATGCCCTTTTCGTTTTTATCACATTCTGTACCCGTTGCGGCATGGAGTGAGATACAGCGTGTAGACCCACAGGTGATCCATTTTGAACTTTTTTATCACCCGGCGCGCAGGCAACCCCCAAACAATATTTGTTAGTTTAGGCAGCTGAAAAAAAATATATTTTGGGCAGTCATCCAAAACAGATAATCCTCCCGGCCCTTTAATTTCCACATGAAGGCTTTTGTACTTCTTTACAAATTTGAGACGAAATGGGCGTTACCTGGCAGACTATGCAGATTGTTTTTTTTTTTTTTTTGCCATCTCAGGGGCGAATGTTAAACATTCGCTTTTCATGATCCTTTCTGGGCTTGGCTCGCTAATTATGTGAGAGCTTCCTTGTCGAGTCTCGTATTTTGTATCTCTGAAAACTGTTTTAGCTGCTTTATTCAGGACTTTTGGTATTCCCTTCGTTTCTTGCCTTCAAAACCTTCATTTCTCCATGATCATTTTACCACCAACATTAGGATTTCTCCAGATTTTTTAGCAGTTTCTACAATAGATAAGCCAGTAAATAGAAGTGTACATGTTTATGCTCAGACGTAGCTGAACGTTTTTTGCGTTAAGGGGGTTTATCTTTCGTGATATTCACAAAAAAATAAGGAAGGAGTTCCAGCAATTCGGGCTATGAAATACAAAAAATATGTGGCTGGGAAATATGCCCGCGCACTCGCACCTTTGGCGCGGAAGTACACATCGAATATTCGCGTCTAAAGATGACACAACAAGTATGAAAATAGAGAATTAGATTGAAAGACACAACTTTTGATTAAATGATTTGCTTACCAAGTCCAATCGTACTAAAATACAGACTTATAAAGAAGAGGAACGAACTAATTTTGGGACACCCAGTATTTTGGAGGTATGAATGTCCCAGTGTAGTCAAGCCTTGCTATACAGTGTTATTAGTACATTTGATTTAAGCAAGGAAATTTTCAAATATTTTGCTTCACCATGACCAGACAATGAATTACAGTTTGTATGGAATGTCTAAGAGCAGCATGCAAATCGATCGACTGGTAAAATAAGAATAAAAAATGGAGCAGAGATTCAATGCTGACCTTTTTAAATTTTACAAAGAGAAAGTGGAAAAAGTTGATACTGACCTGAGGTCACAAGCAGGGTCCAGTGCCTAAATTAACTATGTTTCCACGGGACGTGATTATTCACTTAAGCCGATCTGAGCTGCTTGAAGTTTGATTCATCAACTAACGTGAGCCTCATGTAGTAATGACTTTTTTATAAAGTAAAATAGCATGATTCTATGGAAAAATAATCTTTGCACGATTGCCTTTCATTCTTTCATACGTTTGTTAGTCCTCAAACCTATTTTGTCAAAATGGTACGCAATCTTTATTCTATATTATTGCAAAACGGGAGAGAAATGAATATATAAAGGGAACTGTTTTGTCGAAAATATACTAGTCAACCTAACCTAACCTTGGGAAACAGGTAAATTTAAACCCGAGTTACTGTGCGGATTAAACGTGTTAGCCGTTGTTAGTATAAATTTGTTGCAACAGGGTCCGGCATTGTCTTTTTTTTTTTTTTTTTTTTTG